TGAATTCCCTAATTACATGGAAAAAAGGGCGCGTGGGTGGATTGGGGAGGAAAAAAATTTCTTGGAAAATTTGTGCTATCAAACAACACAAAAGTGGGAAGCAGGAATATATTTTCCGTTTTTCATAAAAAATTTAACAAATCAAACAGAGCCTAACTGTTTTTAATTTTTAGTCTGCATTGAATCTTTAAGCTTTAAATGGCACGTCCTCGACGTGCATTTGAGATTAGATTCGATAAAGTTCAATTTTGTGGGAGGAAAAAAAAAAGAAATAGAACAATTAATAAATGCATGCCTTCAATAGGACTTAAAGGCAACAAATTTCTGCCACACACAATCAAACAGAAAAAAGAAAAACAAAAAGAAAAAGCAATCCCCGTTCCAATTTTACACCAAAATTTTCAGTGTCACTCATAGAGTTTAATTTTATATGCATTTGGTGTCTCAAAATATCAAGAATTGTAATATTAATAAATTGGTAATGCATGTGCAAAAAATTGTGCATTAAATAATAGGTGTAACGTATTTACTGCATTAAGTGAATGATGTTGGCGCATTTCTCGCCAAGACACGCATACCTATTGCAATAGGGGTTTAGAAAAATAGAAACATTCATTGTAATCATGTGCTGGCTGCCTGCCTTGGGTCATTTAGTATGTTTGGTAAGTTGGATTGAATAGAACCATATGAAAATTGAAGAACAAATATGCATAAAATCAGGGATATATCTAGAATTTGACAAAAAAAAAAAAATTTATTAGGCAAAACTTTAAATATGCATAAAATCAGGGATGGATCTAGGATTTGACAAAAAAAAAAGCCAGAATAATATGTGAAAAAAAAAAAAAATTATTAGGCAAAACTTTAGATGGCCTGGTGCATAAGCCACTTATAACATTTTTCTCTTTAATGTGCTATGCTTTCGATGTTGTTTGAATAAATTAAGCTCTTATTTGATAATTTTTTTAAAAATTTTTTCAAGTTGGTCGAACTTCATTTCTAATCATACGTTTGGTGGACTCACGAGGATTATTTATTTTTTTCCCACAAATCTCGTAGGACCCACCAGCTTAAAATCTCTAAAAATTTGTTCAAATAGGCGATAAGAAATTTGATTGGTGGGTACCAAAATTTATGTTTTATACTTGCACTATATATCAAGGTTCAATTGATACATCATTTTCAAAATTATATTATAATTCAGTAATAATTCAAAAGAGCTTTGCAATTTTCTACACAAATTGGTGGAACAAAAGTTGACAAAATTATTGAAATAATTCGGTAATATCAAATAGAAGATCGGACCATGGCTTTAGTTTTCAATAATTGGTCGAGATTCAAACATAAACTACAGTTTGTACACATACGACGTGAGCTAAGGAGTGGTTTAAAGCAAAAAAAATTCAACGACTACCTTACTTTTTTCCTTTATTTATAAAATGTACTTTTTCTACCAAGAAATTTCTAAAAAGTCGACGTCTGAAAGCATTGTGACTAAGCTTAAAGAGTTTAATTATAAGTATATCCATAATAAATTTATGTATTGATCAAAGTTAGAGTTAATTAAGTTACATTTTTTATTAATAAGATTTATTTTTTCTACTAAGAAATTTCTAAACAGTTAACTTCTAAAAGCATCGTGGCTAAGCTTAAAGATTTTACTTATAAGTGTGTCTATAACAATATTCACTTATCCAAATACAACTAGAAGCCAGTGTAAAAAAATAGGAAGCTTTATAGGTCAAAATGAAAACGTTTGACTTAAACTTCAAATCTCGAAGTTCCAAAATCTTTGAATCCGTTTGATTTGTATTACAATTTTTTGTTTTGTGGGTTTTCGTATATGTACATAACAATTTACCAATGATGTGACAACGATTTAATTGGATCATAACCTCGTTAATTAAATAAATTTTTCACTTGCATTTTGACACTTCATCATTATGTAAAATATTATATAAATAATTATGTATAAGAAGCATTTTTCATTTTAAGATTATCAAAAACGTGTTTGGTTTGACATTTCGAAAAAATGTTTCTTAAAACAGAAAATTATAAAATACATTTGATGTGAAATTTGAAGGAAAATTGTTCTATTTTATGTTAATATATTATCATGTAAAACATTTTAAAGTTGGTAAATTTTACCATTTTTTTCTATAAAAGTAAAACAAAAACAAATAATAAATTTAGTTGGCAAAATATAGGAAATAAAAAAAAAATTAATGATGTAGAATGAGAATTTTTATCTTTGTTCATTTAAATATATATTTTTAGAATATTCATGTAAATAATAACTAAGAGTTTGAACTATTTTAATATTTAATAATTTTATTTTTCAAATTTTTTATTTTTTTTGAATTTTTAAATATTAATTTATTAGAACTTTATTTTTTTATAATTTTTAATTTTTAGAATTATATGTAAATAAAATTTTATTCAACCCTTGTTTAAGTCCCATTTTGGGATAAAAATGAATTTTGGAATAATTTTTTTTTTGTAGAACGTGTAGTTAAAAAATAAAAAAATTGATTTACGTGTAAAATTATTTTATTGGAGAATGTATGTTGAAAATGAGTTTTTTTTTTAAAATTAAGTTTTTTATAAAATGGGGCTTAAACGTTTATTTCTCTTGTTTTCAAAGCTTTCTCAGAAAACATTCAAAATGTCAAAAATGCATTTTGAGTTTTATGCTATAAATTTAATTTTGTTTTCGAAAATATATTTTCAAGAATATCTAACCAAAGTACCAAACGAGTTTTGGATATTTTTCAAAAACTGAAAACAACAAATAAACCGAAACCTTAATTTTCTGTATTTCAAGTCTTTTTGATCTCATCCTTTTTCTAAAGCCCTCCACACATCACGATGCTCCCTCAGGCTTATCTTAAAAACAAAGATTTGAACAATGTTCAAAATTAAATTATGGCACTAAAAGTTTGAGTTTAGAGTTTTAGATATACATGTCGGAATCACACAGACCGAACCATTACTCTCCTTAACTTTGATTTGTGCATGGGAAGTTGGGAACCAACGACTGACCCCCCCNCTTTATGAACCAAAGTTTTCTTAAAGAATGCAATTTTCTGGAGTCAAAAACTGTCATTAATATCAGAGAAAATAAATATTCTTTCTTTAATTGAATTGTATTTAAGACGCTGTTTGACAAACGGGTTGTAGTCGGCTTTTCAGTTTTCCACAATTTTTCTTAAACATGAATTTTTAATTTTTTTTTTGGAATATTGGTAAAATTTGACCACAAAAAAATAAAAATAAAATGACGTTATACCTTCATCCATTTCTAAATACTTCAAGTAAACATTAATTTTATACTTTCCATATTCTATTCAGGATTTGATTTAAACCTTATTGAAATCTCATTTTTAATAAAACTTCTACATAAATAATGCCTAACAAATCCATGAATAAGTTACTATATAATTATTTTTCTCCTTTAAAAGAAGTAACATCATATAATCAAGAATAATGCTAGAAATTCCCACACTATAATTGTCTAATATAAAAGAAATGCAGATGATTTTGAAGTTGTCAATTGTCATTTAAACGAGTGTTACTGAATCAAGAGAAACGAGCACCACATCATTAATCAATTTTTTGTTGCATATTATTATTAATTTAATTGCGCAAATTTCTCTAGGGGTGAAACCCTAATTGTTGTATTATTAAAAATTAAAACAACAGGATATGACCCTAAAAGTTTAAGGAATTACATTTTTTTCACATAATTTTGGACTTCATTTCAGACTTATATTTCTGTATATTAGAAGTCTTTATTTTGACTTATTTTTCCAACCCACAAACCCCTAGATTCACTTCTTGACTTTCATACACCCTTAACCACCACCCCTATTTATTCTTGCATTAGAAAAATAATCCCCTCAGTAACACCTTTCCAACTCTCTCCATTAATGGCCTTCTGCAAATTGAACTTGAAGTGAGGAAAACAGGAACCCTAAACACCAAAGAGAAACTGATTAGAAATAATCTACAACTCTCTCTCTCTCTGCTGATCCTTCCAACGTTTGTGTATTAAGAGCTTTCACTGTCTTCTCTGATGAAGATTCTAATATAGGCCCCTGCATCTGGAGAATTGGCTTGTACTATGACCAGAAAAAACAAGTATTCTAAGTTTTAATACAAAAATTGTAAGGTACGTAGAGGGTGTGGGACTGTACAGTTTATTTCACTTTATATTTATTTTGCTTTCCGTTTTAGTTTACAATTTTGCAGGCGATTCTTGTTGTGGTTTTGTCTCTTTTATTCCTTTACTATTACATTTTTTTCTTTGTGACGAAGTAATTTTTTATCATTTGCTGATGGGGATGATTGTATATAATTAATTGACAGCGAATTGAAAAAGTAGTAGGTGAGGAGTCTATAAGAAGACCAACAAAACGATCGTGTCAACAAATTGCTTTCACTGTAACGCTCATGGCTTCATCAAATAGACACTGGCCAAGCATGTTCAAATCAAAGCCCTGCAACTCCACTCACCACCAAAGGCAGCATGACATGAACTCTTCTCTCATGTCCACTGGTTGCCACGGAACTCCTTACACTTCAGGTATAATTTTTATGTACTTTGCGTTTCTATTTTCGTTTTGCCATTAACCTTCTCCTCATTGAGAATAAGGCTTAATCCGAAACATCAGAAATTACATTTTATTAGCTGTTGCTTTTGAGAACTGATGTTTTGATTCAACAGTTTCAGGAGGTGAAGAGAGGACTCCTGATCCAAAGCCCAGATGGAACCCGAAACCGGAGCAAATCCGCATACTGGAAGCCATATTCAACTCAGGAATGGTGAATCCTCCAAGGGATGAGATAAGGAAAATAAGAGCTCAATTACAAGAATATGGCCAAGTTGGAGATGCAAATGTTTTCTATTGGTTCCAGAACAGAAAATCAAGAAGCAAACACAAGCACCGTCACCTCCAAAACACAAAGAACCGACAGAAAAACCCTGGAAATGCTCCTTCTAATTGTTCGTCATCGTCTTCGGATAAATCTTCTCTAAATTCAACAGAAAAGCCCTTCTCAGCTGTTTCAAGCTCAACCAATGTTATGGATGTATCTAACTCCCCAACAGCTTCTGTGAACCAAACATTTTTCCAAAATCAAACTGATTTCTTGACCGAACCCTTCTTTTTCCCGGTCCAACAACCCCCCGGAGGATCAAATGCCGTTTTTACACAAGGGTTTTCATTTCCAGATGCTTCAGGCGATCCTGATCTTATTGATCATACGGTTGGAAATTGCTCTAGTATCTTACTCAGCGATTTGATGCTGATGAACCATGTACCTTCCAAGAAGCCAGATGATGAGAAAATCAAGATGCAGGAACAGCTAAGTAGCAGTGTACCTACAGCTCCAACTACTAATACCATTTTTCCTCCGAGTTTTTCTGTTCCATCCCCGCCTCATCACAGTCAAGGTACTTAGGGCTACACATTTTTGAAAAGTTATTTTTTAGCCATTTATCTGATATAAATAAACACAGCTTAAAACCCATGGCCAAACAAGCCGATTACATGTTATATAGCCATGAAAAAACTTAGAATTTATGTGTACTGATGTTGTTACGTAATTTCATCCTGTGAGAATAGCTTCTTCACTGCCATTTCATGGAAGTTCCTGATGTTTACCGTATAGTCCAATACTTTTTTCTCCATACGTTATGTATGGATATATATGTCATATTTAGGAAAGGACAGGAATGGATATGTCTGTGATCCGCAATTCATGTAATTTGTCTCTTAGAACCTGTGCATGGATTGACTACTGCTTTGGTTCTTTTTGTATGCATATTAACATGTAATAGGAGAAGAAAGGTGCAATATTTGGAGTTCCATTTTAAAAGGTGAATCTTATTAAAAAGAGTAGTCAAAATTCTTATAAATTTGTCTATATTTTCATTTTTATTCGATCAGATTTCATCACTTTACAAAGGGGATGATGATGTGATGTTTGCTGGTGCAGGTATAGGTATAGGCGAATCAGGAGTTGGAGGTCCCACAAAATCAACGGTGTATATCAATGATGTGTGCTTTGAGGTATCATCGATGGTACCCTTCAATGTCAGAGATGCCTTTGGTGATGATGCAGTGCTTGTACACTCATCTGGTCAGCCTGTTCTCACCAATGAATGGGGTGCGACTCTCCAGCCACTCCACCATGGCGCTTTTTACTACCTAATGCGCACGTTTACTCCACCAGTTGACAGAACCATCGATTTGGTACTTGATTTGATGTTTCCTTCAGTAAAACAGTCCGCATTTTTTTGCCTGATGATTTTCATTTTTGGATCTTTATTCTTGCTTAGTGGTTTTAATTTAGTTGCCATTTATTGACAAATAATAATGGTTTCTGGACATGCAGATTTAGAAGGATTAAGGAATTTCACAAGAATTGATGAAGTTGACAAGGAAGGGCTGCTGCTATCATTTTTTTTTTTTTTAAGTTGCATGAATCCCTATTTTCCCTTTTAGGCCTTAGTTTCTACTTCTTGTGATCAGCCTGCTGTTCCATTTGATCTATATAACTCTGTTTCGTGCCGTATTATGCAGAATATAGATGGAATGCGTTTTTAAAAATTGTTTGTTTGAGTGCAAATGCTAATCTCATTTAGAAAAAAAAAATGTTAATTAAACGAGGACGAGGATATAAGCGGTTTAAACTAAGGTAAAACAGACCGTGTAATATACTTCCAAAAATTAGAAGTTACGACTCTTGACAAAAGAAACAAATATCTAATATGCACTTTTATATTCGCGCTCAATTCCAAGACTCACCACCTATCTGTCGATCATTCTAAAAAGAATCTTGGTTTCCTTGTGAATAATTTATGATTAGATAATAATACATCAAATGTTAAAAGAAAAGTAAAACTACTAAATGATTTAAAAGGCAGGTTGAAAACTAGGATCATAATAAAATATTTTACATGTAAATCCAATTTTTATTTTTTTTATTTTACTTTTTAACCACTCAAAAATTCACTGTTACGAAACTCATTTTTAACAAAAATAAAAATAAAAATGGAGCTCGATTGCTCGAACTTAGTTTTAGGATACAACTGTTCAAGTGAAACGTCATGCAGCTCAATCCATTTTCTACATATAAATGCACTTTCTTATAATTCGAATGTGTCGACTTGAACATGTTTTTACGATAATAAGAAACATGGAAAGTCCTTTTCAATGAGATTAAAGAGACAATGTTAACTAAGACTTTGTGAAGATTGGGTTTTTTTTTAAACGCAGTGATCATTTACTGAAATTTTCCTTTCAACTTCTTGTTTTCAAACACTTAAATAAATAATTTAAAAATCCTATTATATTTAACTAAACTTTATTTATTCCTCACGTTTCCTTAATCAAAATATATAAAATTGTAAGCATACTATACGAAAGCGTTGGTCAGAAGTAACTGAATGAGCCATTGTGTCTGATTGGTCTTTTCAGAGGGTTGGCTGACCACAAAGAGAAACAAATTTTCTTCAATTTCTCTCCCAAAATTTCCTATCAATCATGCTAGGGTGTCAGAAAGAATTTGACATCTAGGTGATATACACTCACAGTTGGTGGGTGGAGGGATTTTTTTGCATTTTATATTCACGTGGGGTCCCATACGGGGCCCATGCACATGTGAGAGTAGGTCATCCAAGATGTCAAATTCTTTCTGGCAACATGGCTTAATTCTTTTCCAATTTACAAGTTTGAAGACGTTTCACATCGACACAAGTGAAATTTCATGCTTCGAAATCCATACTTACACGTACAATGTTTCGTTCTTAACTCATAGCTGTTCTAATTTGTTCTCTCGAGATCGTTTCACTTTTACAAACTACAAGCGTGTAAATGTGATTCTCTAACCACGAAAATGGATTGAATTCTTGATGAGTGGTCAAGTGACACTGATTGAGTGGTGGAAAAGGATTCCTTGCAAAATGGTGCGAACAGTGTTACTTTATACTGATACAAATTCACATAAGAATATGTGGGGTTTGATTGATTCGAGGTTGAGTGATGTTGAAATATCATTGCTGCTGTAAAATTCTATCCTCACACCAATACTTACTAGCATCTGTGTGTGCATGAACCGTCACATTGATAATCATGAATCATCACCTAAAAGCTTTGAACTCAAACTACTCTCTCGCCAAGTTATGGAAATAATATTCATATTTAAGGTCAGACAACTGATTGATTTTTCTGACGTTTGAACCAAACAGTGAACCTATTCATGTCATTTTTAGTTTTTCAATGTTGGCTTTTTTTTTTTTTCCTCTTAGGAATAGCGCGTTAAAATGTTTAATTGGACAGAACGTGACTAAATAATATAAGTTACAAATTTGTCTTACGAGCTTTTAATTTATTTTAATCTGGTCTAGCATAATCTAAAAGACCAAGTTGACATAACGTGAAAATGTTGATATTTCAGTAGTTTACAGGAATAATTAGACATTGCGGCCGATGGTCAGAAGCTTTTCCGTTTCTCCATTTTCAACCTTCATTTTCAAAAATTTTGTAAAGAAAAACATAGTGAATGTCACAAAATGTATGAATAGTAACAAATTTGTGACAAAAATTAATATTTAAAATTGATTAAAATTCAGTATTATTCACACATTTCGTATAATCCACCGCTAAATTCATATTTTCTCAGAAAAATAAAACTCTTTATATCTCCGTCGTCCTATTTTGCCACATTAACCTTACATTCCAATTTTGATCGCATCAATTAGATCAATGGGATTAAACTGAATGCCCCGGCTCAATGACCGGGGCATTTGAGGGGGGGCTGAGGTCGGTCAGCCCCCCCTCCAATTGTATGGTGCCACGTCGGCACCTGTATGATGGCCCGGTCATTGAGCCGGGCCATCTAGCACTGTCCAGATCAATGAAATCACTCTTTATCCCACACAAACCTTGAAAGAATCGGTTAATTCAGATATTTTACCTCTTAGATTCTCTGCTATTGGATGGACCCTATGACCTAAATAGTGGGCCATTTAATTTTCATTCATACTGTTTTTTTCTTTTCCCGTACGCTAACTACAGTTGGATTTTGTTTGACTGGCAGATATCGAAGGAAAAAATATCGTTTAATACATAAATCATAACTGATTTTTGCTCTGCAAGGCCAATCTATACCGTCTAGTCCAGAAAAATAGGGTACTAATAAATCTGAAAATTTGAAAATTAAAGACTATCCCGAAGACACTAATGTCCAAACAGCTAAACGGGTAAAGGCGGTCGTAAGAATTGCCAATAGAGGACAATAATAGTGATCGACTGAGCCCAACGGAATAAAAATGTTTCATAGACAAAAATAACTTCTTTAACATGATTTCTTGGAGCCAAAATCATTTGCGAGCTTCCAACTTCTTCTGATCTTTGGCTGCATGGAGAAAATGTGGAGTGGGGTCAAGGTGAAAATGAAGGAAATAAAAAATTGACCAACAGTTGGTGTGACTAATGCAATAGCTACCTGCTTTCTCCTCTTCTCGTTTTTTAGCAGCTTCTGCTCTTTGTTGCCTTATAAGAGCCAAACGATCTGCAAGATTAAGAAAACTATCATTAAATATCGTGTTTCTTTAAGAGAGAAAATAAGGCGCATATCTTGAATCGTGTGAATTGGACTCGCTTAACAATAATCCCACACATACATGATGAAATATGTCACAAACAAATTGGCAGTGTAAATCTGAAGGAAACCATTTGATGTGGGAGCAAGGGAGAAATATGCAATTACAACATTATAGGAAGTTATACACTCTAGAAGCTGGTCATTTTATTATGAACAGCTCAAATCATAAAATGATGGAAGAACTCGGAACTCGTAGGATGCACATTCAGTTGATCCCATATGCTATGTGAATCTGTCCATAGCTCAAGGTCACTGTTACCCTAGATGCATCAAAATAAGTCTACAAGCTACCTGGATAGAATACACCGGAAATCACTAATGCACATTTTGCATTGTATCCTAATGGACAACATTGGGCCTTTAATAGAAAAAAAATGTCATGGAGAGGTTTTAATTATTCAAAGGTGTATACACCAACTAGTTAAGCAACCAAGAGGAAATCAAGAAAGATACGAACAAGAGAAAAGGCTAACATAAGTATAACCTGCTGCAGTGACTTTGCAACCAATAACTGACACAGCACATTCGGATTCAATGATCTACATCTTTATCTAATCTGATCTAGTATGGTGTTTGCATAAATTTTTGTTTTAAAATTATCATAGGAGTAGGGGTTCAGGAACTTCTGTGATTAGTCAAAGGATGAGAGCCCCTTCTGGATTCCAGAGCTAATACACTCCCTTTCAAATGACCATAACCCCTTATCCTTTGGACTACATGCCAGCTCCGAATCATTTCCCCTTCGCCTAAACACTCACCAGGACCCTGGGAACAGTCCCCCACCCCCAAAATGCTCTTTTTTGTTAATATTCTTTAACAGCGCACCTCAGCAAGAAACAAACAGTAGATTCAAAAATCCTACCTAAATCTTTCCTTGCTTGTTCCGTCTTCCCTTGTTCCTGCAGTTTCATGTACCTTTCATGAGCTCTCTGTTTTTCAATCTCCTCTCTGTTAACAAGAGAACAAAACGACAGTAAGAATATAAACAAATCAGTAATAAAAGAAAACCACCACTAAATTATCAACAACGCTCAGAGAGGCCAAAACATTGAGATTTCAGTGTAAAATACAGCACCTCATCACTGCATTACATTTAAACTTGCATCTCAAACTCAATACGTATTTACGGTTTTAAAAAAAAAAGGGTTTCCAAGAAACATTCTGCATTCATTTGCACTTAATAATGGTCCTCAAGCACATCTAGTTGCAGAATATACTAGTCATAGTCGTCACCTGGGAACTAAAAATTCTTCGGCAAGACTTCTAAAAAGAAAAACCCAGAATGAGCAATAACATTAATCAGAAATAAAGGTCTCCACACAACCGACCCTAACATTAAACCACTCTGACAGTCTCTTTCCCTCTTTGGAGCTGGTAGCAGCCATAGAAATAGTTGCATGCCCCAGAGTTCACTCTCGATGATGAAAATCAATTGCTACAACTGGGACAAGTGATAGAAGGCAGGGAGGAGGACAATCATTCAATAAGCGAATTGAAGCTTAGAGGTTTTCTTATCCTAATCTGCCAATATTAAGTTAAATATGCAAACTAAACAAGAGAAAAGACAATGAAGTCAAAGTAAATATTTGTTGATCATTTCTATTCAAAGCCAATGCCCAATTGAAAAAACACAATCACAAACCTTTCACGTCTTGAAAGCTCGGTTGTTTTCTCCATCTGCCAAAAAAAAAAAGCAACATTTAGTAAGCTATTCATCTCCTCGAACACCTATGGAAGCATATCACCTGTGATACATTGATTACTACTATTTGATAAGATAACTTATTTGCGTAGCTTACATCAACATCTCTAGCTTTCAGGTTCTTTGGCTTGCCCGAATTCGGATTCTCAACTTGAATGATACCTTGGGTTCCTTTCTTCTTCTGTCAACAACATTGACCAAATAAAGAGTAAGTATTTATTTATCTAGCCATTTCCTTAAAAATACATGATGTCACATCTAAACAAAATAGAAATGAAAATTGCTTTATAGACAGCAGTTAGCCAGTTTACAGACTTCAGATTCTTCCTCAGATTCCTCTCCAGACTCTTCTTCAGATCTCTCATCTTCTTCCACGTCAGCTTCTTCCTGATAACACAAGAAACTATTCAGCAGACTGTTTGAAATTCATAACCGTAATTGGATTAGTTAGGATACAATTAAGATGATTATGATCTGTCAGTTCAAAAAAGCAAATATCTGCAATGAGAATACGGCCATAAAATGCAAAAGAAGAAAAATATCAATAGATTAAACCATAAACCAACGAATACTAGGCCCCATACCAGCTGCCAACATGCAACCCACTCGCTCTCACTAACATTCACCCATAACTACAGTAATCATTTGTTTCTCTTTCGCTTCACCTTTTCTTTTAGTTTACCTGTGACTTCTTTGAAAATGCATCTATTATTTCAATATCCCAAATAATTTCTAAACCACAGCATTTGTACAGTCTTCAAAATTCTTAAACTACAACAAAACTTGAAGCTGCATAAGAACAACACTTTCAATACTTTCAAATCAATAACTGTGAAGATTATACCTTTGCAATAGTAACAAACATGACACTTTTCAAGGGAATTGAAATATAAAAAAAAAGAGAGAGAGAGAGAATCGTTACCTTCTAACACAGTATATCTAAATGAGTGTCAGTGAAAATCTAAAGCAAGCTAAATTACCTGTCTGAATGTGCGAGGACGAGAAGCAGAAGTACCAGCCACTGGATAATTGAAGCAAAAAAGAGAAAAGGTTGAGTTGGAGAGTGCAGACAAAAAGAAATTTTGCCTCCAATCTAGAGTGAAAAATCATCCCTACCCCCCAGCCGTCTTTCTTTCTTCCTGACAATGACAAAGAAGGAAAAGAAAATAGATGGATGGGGATGGGGGCACAGAGAGGGAAAATACTTCAAATGAAGACTATCCGAGGGTGTAAGGTTCAATAAATAGTAAAGCCTTAGTTTTCCTTTGTTTGATTTAGAAACAATAATATCCAAATCGAGCAATCGACCATGAATTTTGAAGCATTATTTTGGGTTCTTGAAGGTTGAATGCGTAAAAAATCATATGCATTCATTCAAAACAATCAGATAACTTTTGGAATCAATAAATGCCATAGTCAGATCTAAAGTTCCTGTTTCGTAAAATAATTTATTGAAGTTTCACTTTAAACAGCAATCAAACAGCCAGGATTACATGCATGCGTGAATCTCAATTTTTATTAACAAATAATTGCGACCAAGTCTGACATTTTGTTCACAAAAACTAATAGTTACCTATTCAAAACTATCGGGAGGTGAAAAAGGATTCAATATTCAGTCTCATTCTATGTCTGCTTTTATGAAACTGATAGCATGGGACCATAAATAGTCCATATTTCAATGAAAGATTTCTAATCCAAAACCTAATGAACAAACCCAGCAGAGCTAGAAAATACCCATTTTACTAAAAAAAAATGATAATAATATCAGAAACAAGAAAGAGTAATCCTCATCACAAAGTGTGCAGAAAGGTGATGAAGAAATCAGTGAATTGTATGAATTAAAAACAAATGCAAGCTAATGAAGCTATACAAGATATATAGACGAAAGGGAGTAAAAGAATAACTGCTTATCACAAAGGTAAACAAAAGCATATTTAGAATATCAACTGCACATTTATTTTAGCACTGAACAAGCAATGGGAAAACTGTCGCTCCAAGAAAGACTAGGTAACGGACAGTATTGGTTTAATGTGTATAAGACACACACAGCAAGTCCCAACTAGTCGAGTAATAGTCCAACTCATGTGTTATCTAATTCAGTCAGCTACTTTTTTTCTATTGAATCGAGAGACGCAGCTACCCCCAACCCACTTCTGTGCCAATTTAACCAAATCGAACTAGGTCTAGCAATAGCTCTATTGGAGATGGTGATACTCTTGAGTCTTTTGTATGGAGCTTGGCAGTTCAGCTTCTTCAGTTTTAATGATTTTCTAGAAGACTAATGTTCAATTTCCTATCAATGAATATATTTGCTTCTGGTCACAACAAAATATTAATGGTTCAATATATTACTTGAGTTTTTAGATGCATTCTCCAGGTACATATGGATTTACTTCTTAAAATTTTCTTCAATTTCTGACTCAAGTAGAACTACTTCTCAATAGGAAGAATAATTATATACTCCAACAACCTCCCTAAAAAAAAAAAAAGAAAGAAAGAAAAAGACGAACGAAACTTGAATAAGATAGCGTTCCAACCTTAAACTCGAGAAAACCAACATTTCGATCACTAAATCATTAAATTAAAATTCAACGTTTTCAGAAACACAATAACCGTGTCCACCGCTCCACCTTCCCGGAAAACACAGATCTCAATTGAATCAGATTTCTATTCAAATATCAATTTCCACAGATAGAGAAGATGAAAGAGATAACATACTCATCTGTTCTGGAGTGGAGAACTGGCGACGGCCAGTAGGTTTCCGGAACTTGAAAGGAGAAGGGTAAACGTAACCTCAATACTCAATTTTAAGAAAGGAGCAAATGTTATGCGTATTATTGGCTCTTTTCGTGAATCTCTGTTTAAACCCTAGCTGGAGACTATTACAGGGTGTTTGACTCTTCTACTGTTATATTCACTCCGAGTTTCTCCGGTTCGACAACTCATATTACGATTTCTCCGTTTTAAGCCCTGATTTGGGACACATTCTTTAAAAAAATATTTTTTTAAAACTCATTTTCAACCACTCATTATTCAATAAAATAATATTTTTTATCATATCAATAATTTTTCCTTACTTTTTAATCACATATTTTTCATCATATCACTATTTAAAATACATTATTTTCTCAATAATATCCATCAAGCACACAATTTCAAAAGTTAACAGACAAAAAATTCAACGACGCACCGTAGCGATCGGTTACAATTTACTACCCTAACATAATTAACCCTTGCTTGATATAGATTCTTTGAAAAAAAAAAAATAATAATAATAATAATAAATTAAGCCCCTAATTGGTAGAAATTTTAATCAAAATATTTATCAAAGTCAAATTCAGCAATTAATTTTAATAATATGTTTCATGGATTCTACAATTTTCAATCACACATTTCATCAACTTTTATCAAAACCTACTAAAAATTTGATTTTAATTTCCACTGAACATGGACTAAATTTAATTTTAGTTTCACATTCTTACAATAAAATGATTTTACATTTTAATCCATAATTTTCTTCTTACATTTTAACCACCGACTCATTCTTCAAAAAATCATTTATCTGAAAATCTATTATTAAAAAATTATATCAAACATGTAGCTTGAGCCGAACACTAACACGAATTTGAACTGTGTTAAGTGTAGTGTTCTAAAAAGCACGAGGCAACGAAGTCGGTTTAAACATTGTTAGGTGGAGCGTAGGTGTAAAGCTTCACACTTATAGAACAATGTTTAATTTTGAAAGAAAAAAAAAAGTCTCCAATCTTTATTGAGTTTTGTAATATCGTTTTTAATCTTAAGAGTTGCGGGACATGCAGATTTGTGGTGGGTTCAACCTTTTTTTTGTCAAATATGCTTTAGAGGCAGAAGAAATGCTTCAAGTTCCATCCTTGATATTTCCCTTTCACCTTCCCATAAGTGAAGTCTTAACAATGTGCTTGTTTTCAGATGGAAATTCGGCACTTAATCTTCCCATTTGCTTTTGAAGATGAGCAACTGGTTCGTTGCTTAATTTCCCTTTCGAAAATTTTTCCCATCAGCAAGCTATACAGTGCATATTCATAGAGATGCCACTCAAAGTTTTCCATTGTACGTAGTAGGATCTCTTCATCCCTCCGTATTTGTTCATCGCTTGCTTCCTTGATTCATGCCAGCCCGTCCATTATGATCTGGCAAGGATCTTTGCTTTCTATTACCGCTCTCCGACGCTCTTTGAGGTTGTTAAAATACAAACACTCTTTAATTGTTTCACCCCGGGCCGGTCCTAAGATTTTGGATGCCCTGTGTGAGATTTTAAAATGATGTCCCTTTCCAATAATGAAAAAATACGTTAAGGAAAAAATATTTCAATAATATTATTTCATTGCAAAAATATGATATTTAAATATTTGTTCATTTTTTTACATATCATAAGAAACGTACAAAGAAAGCTCAAAAGCATCTCTCGAACTTCATTAAGATTCATATGTCATAAAAAAGAACCATCTAAGCCACTAACCTCTTCGTTCAATTCCATATAAGCAAATCTTGAGATAAAATAAAAAATAAAAAAAAATCCCGTGTAAATCTTGAAATGCAACAAATTGTGTAAAAATATTTATTTACACATTTTTAGAAGCAAACTCACTAATTAAACTTTCGTAATCAATATGTTCTAGAAAATCTTATTCAATAGATATCAAAGCTAGTACATTCAATTGTTCTTTTAACATGATTGATTGCAAATAAGATTTTAATTTCAATTTTGAAAAACTTTTTTATGTAGATGCAACAATAACATGAATTGTCAATAATATTCTATAAGCAATTTATGTATTCGGAAAGTTATCAAATCTTTTCAAATAAATTAATATATCAAAAGCTGTCTTTATTATTATTATTGTTATTATTATTATTATTTTGTAAAAAAATTTGCAGAATTTTTAACTTTTCAAATAAATATTTGTCATCAAGATTACAAAAATTTACATGTCTTAGAGAAATATCAAGATGATCACACGTGCTTTCAAATTAGTATCATCCTATAAGTTTAACTTGTCAGAAGAAAAATAAAAATCCAAATTTTTTTTCATATGAAATGAATTGATCAAACTATATAAAGGAAATTATTGGTTCTGAAAGAATTTTCAGGTGATTGTGCATCCTGTACAATAGCATTTTCATCAAAATGTTTCTTCCTACGAATTATACGTTTCGCTTGAAATAAAGGATTAATTTTCATTTCAATGACAATTTCTTTAGCAATATTTGTCGCGTCATGAAATCCAATTTTCCTATATTTTTTTAAAAAAGCAATCAACCTCCATAGCAATGTCAATAAGCATATCATTAGATTGCAAGCGTTTACTAATCAAGTTAACAACATACAATATCTCATACCATATAACCATAGCTACTAAAAACTCAAAATTTCTGACAAAAAGGGTTGCCAAAGCATTAGTACGACACCTTACATCATTGTCATGTTCAATTTCAGTTACTTCAAGTAAAGCTTCTCTTAATTCAGGTGCTTGGAACCTAATTGCTTCAACATCTTCAATATGACTTTCCCGCCATGTAGCTGACAATGGCTTGACATTAGTTTTAACATTATCTTTCAATGTTCTCCATCTCTTTGTAGAATTAGTTACCATAGGGTTAATAGCTCAGGCCTATCCATAAGCTCTTCACCCTGGCTCCTAGAAGGCACATCCTGCGATTTACCTCTTCCACAATGGCCCAGGGCAGGGTCGATGGGGGCCCTCAAGGTTGAGGTTCAACCTTTAGAAAACAATGTATAAATACCATGTACAACACCAAAAAAAAAAAATTGTTGCTTTAACACAAGAGTTTGCCATATCGATGGGGGCCCTCAAGGTTGAGGTTCAACCTTTAGAAAACAATGTATAAATACCATGTACAACACCAAAAAAAAAATTGTTGCTTTAACACAAGAGTTTGCCATATCACACGGTGCTAAATTCAGACTATGACATCCGCATGGTGTATGAAATGTTCTAGGATTTATATCTAGTAGTTTTTTTTTTCCTTTTGAGTACCTTGGTGCTTACCTTTCACGTTAGATCCATTAGAGTATTTTGTAATTCTTCAAAAAGTCTTTGACCTGTTGTATTGTCCACTTTTAAAAAATTCAACAAAAAATTCATGTATTTTAATTGAATTACTAGATAAGTCTACACATCTTAAGATCAAAGACCTTTGTTCTTGGTGACTTGCATCCGGAATACAATCAAGTATCACCGAAATGTATTTTGCATTTTTTATTTCATTAATAATTGTGCTTTTGATTTTAGAAGCCAAGGAAGCTATCAACTCATTTTGAATTTTATGTGGAAGATAGTGATATTGAATTTCATTACTTTCAACACGCTGCACATGTCCTTCATGATAGGATCCCACTTCACAATCATTTCAATTAGTCCTAAGAAGTTCATGTTGCTATCCTCAAGAGGTCTATCGTTCGTTCCACGAAAACCCAAACTATTTTTAGCTAGGTATTGCATGACATAAATTACTCTTTGCAGTACTTCCTTCCAATGTTGTTTCTTTCTCTTTTCTAATTTGTTTTTGAATTTTTACATCAATTGTTTCATTTTTCTTCATTCTAGCACGTAAATCAATTCAAGTAACCATGTTGTTGATATGCACACTACTCATTTCACATTCCTTAAACCTGACTTTGAAACGTACCCAGTCATTAAATCCTTCATTTATTAAACGAAATTTTTATAAACCTCTTTTAAATAACTTACAACAAAGAGAAAAAACTCTATCAAGATCATTTGAATACACTAGCCATGGCCTATCACGTTTCTCACCATTTGATAAATAACAAGTGTAATGGCTTGAAGAGAAACATCTAGACAAATTATCTTTAGGACCCTTTTCTAGTGCTTCTTGTAGGACCATTTATCACTAGCAAATCTCTAGAATTTTATATCAAGATTATCCCAAGTTCTTGGATCATAGATGTTGAAGGGAATGGACCTATTATGAATTAAACCATCTACATCTTCATTAGTATCATTTTCCTTGGGAAATTCATCATCAACATCTTCACTAGTATCATTTTCCTTGGGAAATTCATCATCAACATTATCATTTTTATCATCATCAACATTGTTAGGCATATCATTTTCAATTTGTCTCAATTCCTCAACATCTTCAATTTTTATCATCAACATTGTCAAGTATATTGTTTTCATTTTGTCTCAATTCCTCGACATCTTCATTTTTATCAGTTTCAAGTACTTGGTCTACATTTTTAGTTTCTTTAACAATAAATCTATCAATAGCACCTTTTTTAGACTCTTATCAACTCCTTATTTTTTCTCTTTTTTCATTCGTTTTCCAAATACTGATTGTTGTTTTCTGGGATATATTTTAAACTTTGATCTAATGACAACAGTAAAAACTAAGAAAGCATATAAATTTCAAATGAGATAAATAATAATAATAATAATAAAAGAAGATAGCACCTGATTATATATTAAATTGGTAATATCTTTATAAGCAATTAAAGCGATCTTAATTTTTCAAAGACCTGTGTACCACCAATCAAATGAAAATATAGAAGAATTAGGAATATGAAATGTACATGTATAAATTTGAATTTGAATTTAAGCCCTCGTTTGGCCCCCATTAAATTACATTACATTACATTAAATTTTTTTCTCTTTTCATTTCAACTACACATTCATCAAATAAAATAATATTACACACAAATCAAAAAAATTTCAACCGTACATTCTTCCATCAATCACTATTCTAAAAATGTTCAACCTTCAAAAATGTAAAATAATGGGGGCCAAACAGGGGCTAAAAGCAATAACTCGGCTTCCCAAGTGCCTAGGAAGTGCTAGATGTAGCATCAATAAACTTAATGAGTGCCCCACATAAATGTATAAATGCTAAATCACCAAAATTCATCAGTCTTTTGTTGCTTATTGAGATGTATATATCAAAATTCAAACGAATACAATTTTTCATTACTTCAAGGTTTAAAAGGACAATAAAAATATTCATAAAGCAATGATAATTAGACAAAATCCCAAATTTTCCGGAATCAAGAAAATATATTCAAGGCAGGTACTTTTTTCTCTTTTACCCTTTCCCTCGCATTATTTAAGGCAGAATATACTATTTAAGAAAATTATATTCAACGAAATTATAATAGTCAGTCACATTATCCTTAATTTTAACATCTTATGCATAATAATAATAATTTTATATTTTAAAATTTATATATTTTTTAAAAATATAATTATACATAAATATACGACTATAACATTTTTTTCCCCTATAATTTTGAGACCCTGTGCAGTTGTTCAACTCGCGCACACTCAGAGTCGTCTTTGGTTTCACCTTTCAAAACTGTAAGATTGAGGAGCTCTGAACAAACAAAATAGGCCAATCAACAATGGCAATCAAAAACAAAAATACTCATTTATAGAATGCGCCCAAACATGACGAGCATTCATATACATATACAAACATAATAAAAGTCGGCATCCAAGGGAATTTTGCTGTAGCGATGTTCTCTCACTCAGGAATGGCAACAACCTTGTTTTTGTCTCTTGTAGTTATCTTTTCCTTTTCTTTTTCATTAATTTTTTTTTTCATTTTAATTTATCTTTTTTTATTAAATTAAGCAAAAAAGTCACTTTTTAACCAGAAGCACATGGAAGCACAGACCATCTGCTGTGGGTTAGCCTGTCTCTCCCATCAGGCCATGCTAGGCTTGACCATAGAATTAAGAAGGGTCTCGGTCAGAGAGAGTAAATAACCTCTCAATTAAATCATGATTTAATATTAAATAATGAGTAAAAGAAAAGCAGAAAAGTAATTTTTAAATAAATATCAAATTAAGTTATCCCAGATCTCAGTAATCAACAAACTGGATTTCCAAGTTGGCATCTAGTTATATTCAATATTCATTGACAAGAATACAAGAGTTGATTTGCATTATTTTGCTTTGGAAGTGAAAAATTGAACACAACTGAATGGCCAAAGGGATTGCATAGAGTTCAATGAATGAAAAACTGCAAAACTGTTCCATATATCATGCAGCCTTCGGATGCATCGATTCAGTCACCTTCCCGTCTTCAGTATTTGCATGTCTAAAATTAAAAACACCAGCGAGTCCTCGCCCCCTGGCTAGCCGCTCAAGTTCTTCAAGTTTCTGCTTAAGAAGCTCCACCTCTTTCAACAACTCTTCATCCCGTTGCCTCATTCCCTGGAGACCAAGATTTTTTCAGCCAACGGGTTAATAGAAACAAATATGAGATCCCTTTTCTTAGATGCACGACTCTCGGATACAATTATGCATCAAGCAATTAGTTTTGCAGAGCTCATGAGTAAGATAACGGATGAATGCCAATGTATTTCCTTGTGGTTTTCATAACAAGTCAGACTAGTGTCTGATTTAAAATACCAAGCCACTAAATAGCACGTGTAAGTTTAAAAATCTAGCAATATTCAATGTTGTAAACTCCACTTAACAGCATCAACTTAGATGATAAAAATGTAGTTCTACAACAAACCCCAAGCTAGCTATATACCCTGCTATGGTTTTTTTTTAAAATTGCTATGAAATCCGCCTATCAAAGTCAATGGAGACCATCAACTCAATCTTGTGAAAATATGCTGTGCGAAATTGATGATAAGGAGGTAGTCGGACAAAGCAGGAAGGGTGCCTATTAGATAATGATGGTGGATAACAACAAAGTTTAGAAACAAGACAGATAAAGTGTCTTCCAAAATGAAAATCCTTTCAGACACTACAACTTGTGTAGCAAAAATATAAAGTAATGTGCCCATTTGCAGATTGCGTCCGCATAAAAATTCTCATTCAGCAAGATATAACTGGAAAATTTGCACAGAAAGTTCTCATAACAGACCAACAAAAGAGCTAACGATGAGATGGCTCTCTTGTCTTAACGGATGTCACCTCCTCTCCAGCAAACTGAGGTGCAAAGGACTGTCACTGGTCAAAGTAATGACCACACAAATTGTTCACGTCTTCACATAGAACTTTAAAGAGTGTGAAAGTATGTCTAGTCAAACAAATGTTTCATTTTAGACAAAATTGTAGAAGGGTAAACCATGAAAATACTTGGAAGATTAAGTTACAAGAACAAAATTGACACATAAGCATAAGAACACTGAACTAGGGTGAAAGGTAAAAATAAGGAACGATGTCCAACCTCCATTTCTTGCCTGCGAAGCTCCTCCTTTTTGGCTTCTGACCTAGAACTTCTTTGCACCTCAAAGATGAGAGCACCTACTCCAACCTAATCACACAAGTAGAAACATAAGTAGAAATAATAGAGGACAAATGACACACTAGGTTCCATTGGAATTACAAGCTCTTAGTTTAGAACCAATAGAATAACACAACCCTCTCTAAATCACTTAAAACATGCATGCAAAAAATTGGGTTGGGTTCCATGATGATCCCAACAAGACATCTCAAAAACTTGCAGCTATCATCAAATAATTGGTCAAATAAATCTACGTGAAAGTTATACGAGGTTTGATGCCGATTATGAAGTCAATGGGTCTCTTTGCACTTAAAATGATCAATGCAATGATGATTTTGGGATGTTTGTCAATCAGTCAAATGACTTCATATCATGCTTTCAGTATCCCTAAGACAGATTTAAACGCGTTACAAAGGGAAGAATAAGTTGTATTTTTATCATTTCATCTCGAGCATTCATCATATCTAGATATTTTCTCGTGAGAAGCTCAACTAGAAGCCTATAGTGAATGTATTTAACACGTTTAAAAAATGTTTGTCATAGCATCATGTGAACTCACTTTCTAAAATTATTAAACTTAAAAAAATTGAGATACGTACCTTACAAAACCTTTATATAACTAAGTTTGGAATGAATCTTGGCCCATTCCAACTTCCTTCGATAATCAGGAAAATCTACTCCAACTAATGTTACACCTTCTCTCTCTCTCTCTTTCTTTTTTTTTTCCCTTCTGATCTAGACTAGTTACAGCATATCAAAATTGCATTAATGCATAATAGTTATTGACCAATTTCTTTATATTACTTCAACATAACTTCTGTGACATAAATCCTCCTTAGCGTCGCTCTCTTAGGACGAAATTACGTCAATAGGCAGCAGGAAGGCATTCATTGCCTTTGATGGTAGCTATGAAATCATGAACGGAGAAAGGGGTGCATGTCAGAGGACAAGGCAACTACATAGTTCATTGAAGATTTGTTGGGAGGTTTGCTTTGATAGGCCACTGGGAGATGTTGGAAGTGTTGCGGAACAGGCTAATAGAATTTGGAAGGTCTTTGGCCCTCTGAAAATTACAGCAGTCAATGAATCCTGTTTATTTGTACATCCCCTCTTAGGTCAACAGACTCAACATGGAGAGAGTATCATAAAATGGTATGTTGTTTTGTTCCCAGACAAAATATTGTTTAAATAATTTGATGCGGACATCATTAAGACATCATCGAGATTTATTTTATTTTTATTGTTATTGGACTTTATTATTTGTGTTTTCGTATTATTGGGCTTGTAGTAGCGGGTTGGCCCAAACCCTTAAAATATTTATTGGGTTTTCATTGTAGTTGACTTCAGTTGATAATTGAATAAAATTTTGATTGGCGATCACGTTTTCCCTCTTTTCTCCTCTTTCACGCTTCTTTCTCTTCTCCCGGCTTCTTCCCTGCCTCTTTTACCTATTCTACATCAAAGTGATATCAGAGCTAAACCTGGTTTACGTCATCAATTTGCATCCCAATCACTGCTAATCAACCTTCAACTATTCATCCAAGAAAAAAAAAACACGCAGCCTCAACAGCTAACACAACATCCACAATTCACAACCATACCTCGTTTCCTTCATTAAACTAGTTGCAACATATATTCCAGTCAAAAACACAACAACATATACAGCCACTTTCCCTTGCCATCGTGCCACCCGAACCGCCTCACCCTACAACCACCCGCCAACCACCATACCGCCACCACACATCCTCCACAGTTTACGCACAAAATTGACGGCAATAGCAACACATCCACCTATGCCCACCCGTCGCCCGTCATAGTCATCAATTCAATCGACACCGCCCTTACTCCGGAACCCATCTCGCGCCGCAAAGTGTTCCCAACACCAGTGGAAGCAGAAGTTGAAGAAAAGGAGGAGGAGACAATTGCTGCCTCTTTCATGAGAGCAACCATTACTGGGTTTTGTCAATTTGGGCCTACCCTAATATATTGGGCCTGGGTTATATTTTGTTTTTTCACTTTGGGTTATACCTTAATCTGTTGGGCCTCGATTTAAATTTGATTTTTCCAATTGGGCTCTGCCTTCGTATTTTGGGCTTGGATCATAAATTTTGTTTTGGGCTCGATTTTGGCCCTACTTTTGTAATTTACTTTTAGTAATTAAAAAAAAGAGTCTGTTGGTATCATTTTTGGGCCTCAATTGAGCTTGTTTAATCTGTAACTTGATTGGGCCACTGTTTGGGTCTTCATTTCTTTTAGTGTGATTTATTTATAGTTTTAAAAAAAAAAGAGCGAACAAAAAAAAATAAGGAGAGTATTTTTTTCCTAACATTTTGCAGGTACCTCTTTGACCTACAGATCAGTTCAATTCGTTCGATGAACAAAACGAGAGATACTGTTTCTTTGGAGATCAATTACTTGGTGCTCAGTTACTTCGACGACCGACGGGAAGCTCCTATTTCTTTGTCTTTAGTTTACATTAATGTTTCATTATAAAATTGCGTCAATTAAATTTTTGTGTTGCTATTATTCCAACTTTGCCTACAATTCGCGTCACTAAATCCCTAATCATATTATTCGCCCACTTTTATCCAAATTATTTTAAGTCCTGACAGTGTTATACTCTCATTTATTTTACGCGATAAAATTGTTGATTCGTATTTGACATTTGTTTTACTATTTTACATAGATCAGCGATATTAGCTTGCCATATTTGGATCTATATAATCCCAAAATAACAATAAAAAGAAATTTTTTGATCAGATCATTATTTTCGATTTTAAAACGAGTTGTTTATTGACCTCTTTATACTCTTCATTTAGCTGGTAGTACATTACATGCAGTTGTTTAGTGATCGCCTTTTCGCATCTAGTTCCAGTAACCTGACCATAGACTCATCCCAACTTAATGCTCTCGCTCAACAATTAGTACAATTTTTCAATAACCAACAACAGTTACTAACTCAATTGGCGGCTGTCCAAACTGAGATGGCTGCTACTCGTGAGGAAAATAGAGACTTAGATGCTAGGTTGTCCACCTTTGAACAAACACCACATACGACTGAGGCTGAAAACTCGGAAGCTTCCAGTAATAGGCATTATCGTCGTCCCCACGGTGGTCGACAACACATTAGGCATAATCGTGGGGATGGACATCAAGATCGTGATAGGGAGCGAGAGCATCACCATCATAATACTCAATCCCCTCCTCGCCACGATGACCGTTTCTTTAGAAACATTAAATTGGATGCCCCAACCTTTGATGGTTGT